CTGAACGTCGGGCCTTAAGCAGGACGTCGGGTCTTCAGCAGGACGTCGGGACTTAACTTCGGGCCTTGAACAAGACGTCGGGTCTTTGGCAGGACGTCGGGGATGAACGTCGGGCCTTAAGGTGGTGGTCCGGCGAGGTTTTGTGGTGGTCCGGCGAGGTTCCTGCGGTGGTCCGGCGGTAGTCCGACGAGATTCCTGCGGTGGTCCGGCGAGGTTCTGCGGTGGTCCGGCGGTGGTCCGGCGAGGTTCTGTGGTGGTCCGGCGGTGGTCCGGCGGCTGTCGAGGAGGAACTCCTTCCTTCTCTTCTCTTCTTCTCTCTCTTGCTTGGATCCTTTCTTGTGAAGAATGAGGGCTCTATTTATAGATTTTCTAGAGTGGCATGGCCCGTAAATAGGTGTGAGATCAGGGGCGAATAGGGAGTGGTCCAATGGACGGCCGATATTGAATCCTACGATCGTGCACCGTTCATTGGACATTTGAAGGTCTTAGTGATGTCGGAATTCTGTGATCTTGGGCTCGTTGGATTCGTCTCGTCGAGCCCTTTGATTCGAGTATAAGCTCGTCAAAATCGGAGTCCGTTTGGTAACTCAAATTGCGGTTTGAACCTTCCAACAGCACTTCGGGTCCGTGATTCGGACCCATTTGGGCTCGGATTGAGTCGAATTTGGTGTCGTTGAGTTCGTATTTCCGAGACGCTCAGTTCGACTATAAGCTTGCTGAAATCGGAGTTGGGGTGCTCTCGGAATTAATTTTTGAAGTTTGAAACTAGCTTTCGCCTCGAGATTCGTGCCCGATCAAGCTAATTTTGTGATGCCGTATCAATATTAAGCTTCGCTTATAATTTTTTTTTTCCCACTCTTAATGATAATAATAATGTACTAAAAGATATTGATGACAAATATGGACCGGCAGTGAAAAAAGAGCTATGAAAAAGATAATAGCTCCAATAAAAAAAACCAAAAGATTGATGAGAAAGAAATTGTAACTTATAGAAAAGGCATTTATGTTGAAACTTCAAATTAACCACTGCTACTCCGACGACTTCAAGTCTTTGTCTTTTTGATGCGATTTTTCCCCTTTTTTTTTTCTTAGGCTGAGCATGCAAAGTTAGAGGGGTAAGTGAGTCAAGTTGACTTAGCTCGGACTCGGCTCTTATAAATAACTTCTGAGTCAAGCACAGTGAGCTAACGAGTCAAGCTTGAGCTAGCCCTGATTCGACTCGCTAGCTCGTGAGCCAGCTCATTTAAAAGATATTGATAAGAACTATACTGAAGTGTATTAGACTTCAGGATTTTAAGTACAAAGTTATTAAAAATGCTTAAAAATTATATCTCATATGTCATTATCTTATATTAAGTAATTTATTTTTATTTTTCATTTCTAATTTTCTTTATCATTTTATTATAATAATGGTTTAAATCGCAATCATTTTCTCTCTTTCATAATAAACAAGTCACCTAATGAGCCGGCTCGAACTTGTAGAATAAAGCTCAAACTTGAGCTCAAAATAGATTAATCAAGCTTAAGAAGTGACTCAAACCTTGGCTCGATTTGTTTATACGCCGACATGAAGTATAATAATATTAATTAATAGTAGATTCAAGTTTGAGATAATAATGAAGAGGGGAAATCCCTCAATTATTTCTCTTATCCAATACTTCTACGTTTTATTAATTTTTAAATTTTTTTATTGTCTTAATAAAATTGAGTTCAAAGGCATAAATTTGATATAATCTAAATTTAATTTTAAAATACTGACAATAATTTTCAATATATTTACTAACTAATTTTTTTAATAAGTAATATATAAAAATAAAATTTTACATAAATTATATTGAATTTCACATCTTGAAAATACATTTTAAGATCTTTATAAACTAATATAACAATTTTGAGTCCTAAGAAAATTAGTAAAAGTAATTAATGCTATATGTTAAAAATAAATTTTATTATTAAAAGAAATACATGGTTTATTTTCTTCAAGTATAAATGCATGTGTTATCATAATTAAATATTTTATGAAATTTTAACAAAGTTTCTTTATTCAATACAAGTTTATTTATAATTTTTTAAATATATAGGAAATTTTGTTTAATAATTATAAGCAATTTCTTTAATACATTAAATCTATTTTGACATGTTAAAATATGATCATTTGATATTTTAAATTTAAATTAATATATGTATGATATATCAAACAAATTCTGAGAATAATTTTAATTTAAATATAGCATACAATAGTCATCATTTATGTTGTTCTAATGCATTTGTAAATATAAAATGGAATATATTGTAATTCATTATTTTTTATTTAATATTAAAATATTTATTTTAATATTAAATTAATTGTTTTTTATTACAAAATATTCATTATGTGTGTGATTCATTGAATATTGCATGCATTATAAAATATATAAAATTGAATATTTTTATTAAAATTGGAAAGTTTTGTGAATTATTTAATATTAAAGTGTGATACTTTTAATATTGAATAGAATTTCTTATGTTAATTACAAAATTTATCTTATATCATTATCCCTGTGTTAATTGCATGCATTAAAAAATTATATTATCATTTAAAAATACATTTGCATGTTATTTATTTTAAATGGACAAAGAAAAAATATTTTAAAAAATGCATACATCCTTATTGATGCGGAGCATTTTAGCTTAAAATGTTCCTTAGGGTATCTAATTTAGTAGTTTGTTACAAGTTTCTAGAATCTTCTAGATTTCTCTAGGTTTTCTCTACTTGATTATTATATATAGAATGTGTAAGAGGAATGGAGACATTGATGAATAGTATTCACTTTTAAGCCTTTGAGCTTTGTGTTTGTCCCTGGATTGGGAATTCCTTCAAGCAGATTCGGTTCTTCCACCGATCCAATACATTACTTA